AAAACTAGTCTTGCAAACGAGCGGGCAAGCAGTTGGGTAGTGTCTGATTGATTGTTTCTACAGTGGTTAATGCCTATATCTGTGTGTGTGATAGTGTGCATAGAGTCCATTTTTCTGTGGCATTGTCCGAGGTCTGGGTGCGTAGGTCTCCCCAAGGCAAGAGCAAAGTAAAGTATTATGAAATGAAATGGATTGGAGTGGAGATGAGATGTTAATATATGTGTGTTTTTTTTTTTGGGTTAGTGAATTTGTAAAAGTGTGTTTTTTGAGTGTTTTTGTGAATGGACTCTGTCTGATTTTAGTGTTTTTGTTGATTTGCTTGTTTGTTGGTTGTGCTTTAGTTTGGGGTGAGTGCGATAGTGCGTGTTTCTGTGTCTGTCCCCCCCCCCCTCCTCTTGTAGAAGGCTGTTTCTGTTGTTTCTGTGTGGGTGGTGGCTGGTTTTGTTTGTTTGTTATTGTGTGAGTGAGTGTGTAGGTGAGTGAATGCGTGTGTATGTGTGTGTTTTTGAAATGGACTTTGACATCGAGATAGATAGTTGTTAATAAAGTGTTGTTGTTGTGTATCTTTTTCTCCTTCCTTTACATGTTTGTATGTGATTTTGTTTTCATCGTGTGTTCTGTGTCCGTTAAACTTTGTTCCTTCCTTCCTTCCTGTCGTTTCTCGCTCTCTCTCTCTCTGTTGATATGGCACAAGAACTCCTTCTCATTGACTGACTGACTGACTGGTCAAAGAATATATATGACAGACTCTGTGTTTTACTCATCCCCACAACGAGTTATTTACTTAGTTAGTTAGTTATTTAGTTAGTGCGCTCAATTTTGTAGTGAGTGACAATGACACGTAACTCAATCCTCCTCCTCCTCCTCCTCCTCCTCCTCCTCAATACACAACCAACCACCCTCGTGTGTTTGTTTACCCGGCAGATATCAAAGTTTGCCGTTAGATGTCGTGCATAAAAGAAAACTACACACTCTTCTTCTTCTTCTTCTTGTTACATCAAAACTTTACCAAATCTAGTTTGAGCATAGTTTAGTTCCCAACATTGCACTAATGAAATGACCAAGTAAGTAGCCTTTTGGTAATAACAACCCTCTTTGAATATTCACACACTCTCTTCTTGTTCTTCTTCCTCCTCCTCCTCCTCCTCCTGTGTCTGTCTGTTACTTTTGTATGGGAGCAGAAAAACACACAAACAACAAATCTCACACACACACACAGACAATCAATCATATAGACACATAGACAGACATACACGCATACACAACACAAACATACACAAACAGACATAGACACACACGCACACGCACGCACACACACACACACACACATAGACATAGACATAGACATAGAGACACACACATGCGCATCACAAACAGACAGACAGACAGACAGACATACATACATACATACATACATACATACATACACACACAGACACATACACATACACATAGAGAGAGACAGACAGACACATAGACACACACACATAGAGACACACATACACAGACATGCGCAACACAAACAAACATACATACACACACACACACACAGACACACAGACACAAACATACATAATTATGCAATAACTCCAAGCTATACAAATTAGTTTGTTAGTCAGTCAGTCAGTCAGTCAGTCAACACATGTGTGCACAACCTACACACAATAGCAAACGCAACAAACCTACCCTACCTATTTTCCCCACAGTCAGTCACACACCCACACAATAATTAAATACATCACTACTCTACTCTATGATTATTATAGCCTTGTTCAAGGTGCCTTTGTCATTGCATACACCTACATCTATAACATTGGCATCCAAATCAAATAAACTCAACGATTCAAGTGCATCACAAATATACCTAGTTAGTGAGTTAGTTAGTTACTTAAATACCCAATCACTCACTCACTCACAATAACTACTCATCAACGATGGTAACAACATTAAAACCTACACCACTCAACCTACATGTATATATTGATAGATTCCACAAGTATTTGTTAAAAACAAGCAAAGATACATTGATAATCAATATAATTATCAACTGTTTAACGACACAGTTATCTACAACTACTCTCTTACTTATTTGCACTTATTTACTGACATGTCCCGCAATGCTACACACACAAACAAACAAATGATAACATGTACTAATAGCCCATGATAACAACATCAAATACAAACAAAACAATACTGCCACAAACAAACAAACAAACATTCTAACGTTACCTTCATTACTACAAATGTAGACTAGCACAAATCAACAAAACAAAGCTAAACAAATTAAATTAACACACAAACAAACTAAACTAGTAATAAATAGTCAACAATTTTTCTCTCAAAAATTGTATTAGGACCTAAGATAGGTCCAAGGTTTTGTTTGGGTCGCTTTACTGGTTGGCTTTGGTGGTTGTGGTAGTTTCCTTCTTGTACTTGTTGTTGTTGTGGAAAACGCTTAACCTCCGAAACCGTACAGGGTACGTCCCTGGCGCTTGAG